CTGACTGTGAGGATGACCAAGCCTGCTATGACGGCGTGTGCGCCAACCCATGCTTGGTCGATGACCCCTGCTCCAGAAATGCCGAGTGCTACGCTGCGCAGCACAGAGCACAGTGTCGCTGCCCGTCAGGCCTTCAGGGCGATGGCTACACCGAGTGTCTGGTCATCGGCTGCAGGGCTCACTCCGAGTGCCCGAGCGACCGCGGCTGCATCAACAACCAGTGCATCAGCCCCTGTGCATACGAAGACCCCTGCTCTCCCACCGCCGAATGCGTCAACCACGAGCACGAGGCCCGCTGCCGCTGCCCGCCCGGCACCACAGGAAACCCTAAGGTGCAGTGCATCCCCATCGTGGAACCCGAGTGCCGCGTCGACGGCGACTGCGAGAGCCAGCTCGCCTGCATCGACGAGCGCTGCGTCAACCCATGTGCGGTGCTGGACCCGTGCGACGACACCGCCATCTGCAAGGTGGTCGACACACTGCCGGTCAGGACCATGCTTTGCGTGTGTCCCGACGGCATGGTCATCGAACAGGGTGGCAGCTGCGACCTGTTGCCGCCCATCAAGCCCGGCTGCACGTCCGACCCGGAGTGCCCCTCCGACAAGGCGTGCTTCAACGGCTTCTGCAAAGACCCTTGCATGTGCGGCCCCAACGCCGTCTGTGACATCGTCGAGCACCACCCTGTGTGCTCGTGCAAGCGCGGCTACGAGGGAGACCCAGAGATTCGCTGCGACGAAATCAGCTGCTACAGCAACGACGACTGCCCCACGACGCACGCCTGTCGCAACGGGCAGTGCGCCCCCGTGTGCGGCCCCAACAACGAGCCGTGCGGCGAGGAGGCCGTGTGCCAGGGCGTGAGCCACGAGGCCGTGTGCTACTGCCCCCCGGGCTCCCGGGGCAACCCGCGCACTCAGTGCATAGCCATCGGCTGCGCATCGAACGACGCCTGCCCCGGAGACCGCAGCTGCATCAACCAGCGCTGCGTGAGCCCCTGCAGCCTCGACCCGTGCGAGGAGCCAGCCACCTGTCGCGTGGCCGACCACCGGCCCGACTGTCCGTGCCCGCCAGGGTTCAACGGCACCAGAGACAACGGCTGTGAAAAGAGTAAGTAACTTCTAAGGTATTCATGCGGTGTAAGCATTTAATTCCATCTCTTCTTTCTTTGCTACAATACGTATTGATTATTATCAACACAATTTTAAACGATTTAATGAAGTGTAGAAGATAAAGGTGACCACTTGAAGCCTCGCAGCCCGATGCCTCGAAACGACGCCCTTAGACCCAGCCAACAGGCGGCCTCCGACAGCGACCTTCCGCACTCACCCCTTTCCTTTCCTCCCGCGCAGTCGTCGTGGGCTGCCGCAGCGACGGCGACTGCCCCAGCAAAACGGCCTGCATCAACGGCGAGTGCATCGACCCCTGCGGCCTGGAGCCCTGCGGGGAGAACGCCGAGTGCCGAGTGGTCGACACCGTGCCCGTCCGAACCGTGGCGTGCGAGTGCCTGCCGGGCTACCAGGGCGACGCGCTCGATAAGTGCATTCCAAGTAGGCCGCCTTTGTGTGTGGGTTCTGAGGGGGGGGGGGATCTTGGAGGGAGGAGGGAGGGAATAATCCAGGAGGGAGTTGAGATGGAGGGAAGGGAGGATGAGGGAATCTAGGGAGGGAGGGAATCTAAGGACGGATACTAACAGCAAAGGGAGATTTTAAAAATAACGATTTATTAACCTTTATCGTTAGAAGGGTCAAGTGGGGAAGTATTAACCATCTTACTATTAATCATTTTATTAATTACTGTGGATCAGGGAGAAGATAAGTCCACCAAGATTATAAGGCAGGAGGATTCAAATAACCAAGGACACACAGTACTAATTTGGGAACGAATATGATACACGAGTGAGTTGTTCGCAGGAAACAAATAATGAAAATAGTAATAAAAGTATAAAAAAGAATTGGTCATTGCATTTCGTTTGATACAAAGTGAAGTGAACTTTATAGGCTATATATATATATATATATATATATATATATATATATATATATATATATATATATATATATATATATATATATATATATATATATATATATATATTTATTTATTTATTTATTTATTTATTTATTTATGCATATACATATGTATACATATGTGTGTGTTCATAGTCACACACACACACACATGCAGTGTACATGTGTGCGTGCCTGTGCATACATCTCACTCGTGTTGGTTCGCTTCCCAAGCATGGCTCTATAAGTATTGCTTTTTGCATCATGTGTCACTTGCATTTTCATTATTAATACCAAATTGCATTGCATTCCCTTGTTGCTTTTTACTGATATTTAAACACATTTGCCTGAATTGTTTGCTTTGCCCAAATGTCTGATATTGTTGCATTTTTAATTTTTTTTTGTGCAATTGCATATTGTTGACAATTTGTGTATATCCACCGTTTTCTTTCAGCAATCAGCACGCTCTTTTGTTGCAAAAGGCAGTTTGAGAAAAGAAAATCATATAAGCTGAAAAAAAATGCATATTAGATGAGAAAAAATATGTGTAAGATCTTCGTAAATGTCTTGGTCTCCTTTGTATGAAGTATTCACTCATAAACGAATTGCAATCTTGTTGATATTTAAATGCAACAGTGAAACACTACCTTAAGAAAATGATAATAATCTCAAACTGCCTTTATTATGCTATTTGATGCCTGTGCTCATCATTTCATCATTTGACGTGTTGATGCATAATCATTCATCTAATCAGCTGACTTTTATCATGCATGTCTGATGTCAGATTAACTGTTCATGACTTTATAATATTTTTTACTGACTTATTTCTATGTGTGTATTTGTTTACGTATTTTTTCTGTGACTGTTCTCAAGAAGTTCATTATTGTAAAGTTTTGTTGACTCTGAAAGACATGAATAATGTGGATTTTTCTCTATAATTTTGCAAGATTTTAGATTGACTTGAACGAAGCCAAGAGACACTGAACGAACACATATGACGCCTGCCTCATATGCTTATTTTTGTAATGCGTCGCTTTTTTAATATTTGTCTTGCTTATTTTGGCTTTTTTTGTGTATTATTTGTTGTATTACTAACAAATGACTTGTTTTTTATTCCAGGTTCATTAACATTTATATTTTTGTTAACGAATGAATGCTTGCATGTGGGAGGTGGTGGTGGTTCATTTTATTGTATATTATTTTAGATTTTTTATAGCATATTTGTATTTTAGTTTTATGACATAAGGGGGAATTTATCATAAGAATTTTAGTAATTTTGACATATATGTTTTGTGTGATTTATGCAGCTGTTTTTTCTGTTTGTCTCACGGTTTTATATTGTTCCACTGTTCGTTACGCACGGTTTAATAATTTGAGTTCATCATTGTTTAAAATATCATCATGGAATATATATGTACACACAATTGGCATACAGAAAGTCATGAAATATTTAGATAGACAAAAAGATAATCATTGAAAAAAGAGGAAAATCGAAGCGAGAAGAAGCGCGCTTCGCCGGCCCGCCATACTGAAGCCCTCTCTCGCCGCAGCGACCGTGTGTCCGTTCGAAAAGGGCTTCATCCTGGACGAGAATGACCTCTGCATCTGCCCGGCGGAGCGAGGCTTCTACGTGGACGAGAACGGCAACTGCGCCCGCTGCCCCGTCGAGATGGGCTTCGTGCTCTCCGAGGACGGCATGTGCGTCTGCGACCCCGACAAGGGCTACGTGCTCACCCGCGCCGGCACCTGCGACTGCCCGCTGCCCGCCGAGAAGGACGAGGACGGCGACTGCGTTGGTGCGTGGAGGCCGCTTCATTCATCTGTTGTGACTCGATATTTTTATTTACCAGGCTTTTACATTTTTATCATTATTATTATTATTATTCATACGCACATGCTTCACTCAGCTAAGCTAAATATCCGCGTGCAATCCCCGACGCTGACCTGCCCCTCCTCCCCGCAGTGCGAACGGAGCCGCCCATCCCCCGCGGCTGCACCAGCGACTCGGACTGCCCGACGGACAGGGCCTGCGAGCAGTCCGTGTGCATATCGCCGTGCGCCTACGACCCGTGCGCCAAGTACGCCACCTGCATCGTCGTGAACCACAAGGCCGTCTGCACCTGCATCTCGGACTACTCCGGCGACCCCTACCAGAAGGACGACGGCTGCAGTAAGGCGCCCTTGGATTTGCTCTTGTTTTTTCTTTTGGGTGGGGGGGGGCGTGGGTATTAGGCCGTTCATACGTCCGTATGTGTGTCTCCGGTGTGTCTGTGAGCATTAAATGGGTGGAAATCATTATCAGCAGTATGATATCAGGTTCAAATCAGTAACCATGTCTGCGCGCGCGTGTGTGTGTGTGAGTATGTATGTACATATGTATGTATGTGCCTGTATGCATATGCTGCATATCCTCATGTAACGCACCTAAACCCGCCCGCTGCCCGCGCAGAGCCGACCTTCGCCCGCACGGACTTCCCGCGCCCCGACATGCTGGTCAACTGCCTGGCCGACGGCGTGCAGGTGGACATCAACGTGGGCGACCCGGGCTTCAACGGCGTCATGTACGTCAAGGGCTACTCCAAGAACGAGGAGTGTCGCCGCGTCGTCCGGCCGGACGTCGACGTCGGCACGATCGACTTCAAGGTCAAGTTCAACACGTGCGGACTCATCCACGAGAACGTAAGTCGGCGATTTAAGTGGTGTTGATGGTCACTGGTTATTCGTTTATTTATGTTACTGTTCTGTGGTGGATTATTTGAAATATCCGAATAAAGTGTTCACATATTCTTTTTCTTATACCAAGGAACCTCACGAACTGACCTAAATCCTCCCCCGTTCGTTTCCTCAACAGGGATTGGCCCGGTTCATCCTGGTGCTCCAGAAACATCCTAAGCTGGTGACGTACAAGGCGCAGGCGTACCACGTCAAGTGCACGTACAACACCGGCGAGAAGACCATCACCATCGGCTTCAACGTGTCCATGCTGACCACCGCCGGCACCATCGCCAACACGGGTCCTCCGCCGACCTGCATCATGAAGATCACCGACCAGAACGGCGACGACATTCGCGGCGCCGAGATCGGAGACCTGCTGATGCTGCGCGTGCAGGTCGAGCCATCGAGTGAGTGGCCAGGCTTTGGTTTAGTTGTTTGAGGGGGACGTTTCAAGCGTGGGTTGTTTGGTGTTATTTCAGTCGGACGGTTTGGTTCGCACCTGGATCTCGTTTTTTCTGCAGATCCAGAACAGGTAATGCTTCATACCGAGCAGCAGCAGCTAATGCATTTTCTCCTTCTTCGCTTCCCTGCAGACATCTACGGCGGCTTCGCCCGGAGCTGCGTGGCGCTGACGGCGAACAGCGACGGCGGCGACAACGAGTACATCGTGACGGACGAGAACGGCTGCGCGACGGACCCGGCCATCTTCGGCGAGTGGGAACAGGAGGACGGCGACGAGAAGACGCTTGTGGCGCTCTTCAACGCCTTCAAGTTCCCGTCGTCCAACTCCATCCGCTTCCAGTGCAACGTGCGCGTGTGCTTCGGCCGCTGCCACCCCGTCAACTGCAACGGCTACGACGCCTTCGGCAAGCGTCGCCGTCGCCAGGCGCTCGAGGAGGACGCCGAGGTGCTCTACGCCAACGAGGCCACGTACGAGGGCCAGCTCAGGGAGATCACCGTCACGTCGCCCGCCATCATCACCATCGAGAGCCGCGCAGACAGGCTCACCGCGCCCGAGAGTGAGTAGTGCAGGCAGCCTGCGCGCTTCGGTTTCGCGGGGCTCTCTCTCTCTCTCTCTCTCTCTCTCTCTCTCTCCTCTCTCTCTCCTCTCTCTCTCTCTCTCTCTCTCCCTCCTCTCTCTCTCTCTCTCTCTCTCTCTCTCTCTCCCTCTCTCTCTCTCTCTCTCCTCCTCCCTCTCTCTCTCTCTCTCCTCCCTCCCTCTCTCTCTCCCTCTCTCTCTCTCTCCCTCCCTCCTCCCTCCCTCCCTCCCTCCCTCCCTCCCTCCCTCCTCCCTCCCTCCTCTCTCTCTCTCCCTCTCTCTCTCTTCCTCCCTCTCTCTCCCTCGCTCTCTCTCTCTTTCTCTCTCAGGTTTATCATCGATCTTTGTGATCCTTTTGTTGACATATGTAACCCATGTTCCTGACCATCTTCCCCCTGTGTGTTGTGCGGTGCAGCAAAGAATATCCATAGTAACAAATGGAATTAAAACTAAGTCTAATCTTAATCCCCCTCCTTCCGCAGACCCCGAGGGCGTGGGCGTGGAGGAGGTGTGCGTGAGCAAGTGGGGCTTCATCATCGCCCTCATCATCACGGCGCTGCTGGCGCTGGTGGCGGTGGCCGTGGCGGTGTCGTGCTGGCTCATGGCGTACCGACGCAAGCCCAAGCACGCGGGCCCGCTGCCGCACCCGCCGGAGTTCCCGAACCCGCTGTTCACCACGCCGGAGCCCCTGGCCGAGCCCTCGCCGGACTACTTCTCGTGAGCTCGCCTGGCGCCGTCCAGACCCATACTGTGATTCCTAACAGAAAAGCGAACCTCGTCTCCTTCGTGGACTAATGAATCGCATGTGATGCGCCAGTGAACCCAAGCGAGAGTTCTAGCAATACATTTCCTGCCGGAAAAAAAATGTTCAACGAACGACGAGAATTTCGAAGCAAACGAATAGAAATAGAATATTATAACTGTGACTTTTCTTATGAAATTGTGAATGTGTGACGTTTAGGTGAAAATATGTGACTTTATATATATATTTGTATCTATATTGGAGCGAGAGGCTTTCGCGTCGAGAGGGACCTCCGCCCGAGCGCCGTGCTCCTCCACGTCCAACACCTTGTCCTAAGTTCCGCAGAAACCACAGGAGTCGGCCTCGAGGCGGAGACGACCTCGAGACGCGAACGGAAGTGAAAAGAGGAAGAAGAAAAGGAATACTAGAGAGACTTCAATATCATGAGATTTTTTTCCTTTTTTTAGAAATGTGTGAAGTATTCGTTATTATATATTTTTTTGTACAAAGTCATTTCACATCGCTCTATCTGAAAATATGCCCCGCTCTGCTACATTTGCTGACGCGGCGATTTATTTTGGGCATCATTTCAGCAGATGGCATAGCAGTGGCCTGAATTCCCGGCGTATTATTACTTTCTGTAAAACGAGAGACTTAACTAAACTTCAAAAACGATGAAACTCAAACCCGACACAGTCTTACCAAGAGTTCAGGGGCAAGATAATGATATCGGCTCTTCAACTCCTAATTCCAAAGAATTCCATTTTTTTGTTTTTGTTTTTTACCTTAGCTTCAATTAGCTCTTTCTTTTTTAATTAATCATATGTATGATGATGTCAAATAATCGTAGGTGCTCATGGACAAGTCGCTGTTATGTCCAAATCTCTTCAAGTGTCAAATGTAAAATGGTAAGCAATTCCCAGCCTTATGCAGGCGGTCAGTAAGACATGACTTTCCGCCAATGGATGGAAATGGTTCTTATTGGCCGGATGCATAAGGACCGGAATCGCTCATCGCATTACAAGTGTATAAAAACTGGCCTGCCATGGCGGCTACGGGGAGTCAGGGTGAGGTTCTTTAAGCAGTCAGTGCTGCTAACAGTAGGTAGACGGAGGTTGTTTATATATAAGAGATTTTTAGCAGACGCACAAAGGTTGAACTCCCCCTATCTACTTGGCAGGGCCGCAATTTTATAAATGGTTATGAAATGTGTTAAGTTATATGTGCACGTAGATGATAGTAATCTCCAGTCAAGGAAAATTCAAAGAGTTTTTTTGGAGAGACGTCTCGCCAGGTGCCACGTGGCTTTGTCGTGACGCTGTCTGGGTCCCGCTCTCTGATTGGTCCGTCCGTCGAGGGGCGTGGTCTAGAGAGGGTGACGTCATCGCTTGGAACCTTTTTTTTTACAGTCCTCTCTGTATTTTTGCCAGGTTTTAATAGATGAAAAAAATAAAGGTATATCTCGCGACGGAACTGACAGAGATCCAAAACGACAGTCGCGATTTCCTCTCTGAATGCTTCAATAGTTATTTTGTATATGAGTTATAAAGAAAAATGTCTTCCGAAAAATATATGTGATATTTCGACATGTATAGTCTTTAGAAGCAGTTGTGTAATCAATTTACGTAGTCTAACAACAACGCTGATTTCATCAATTAAAAAAAAATGAAATTACATTAATCGCTCTAACCAAATAATGAAGGCAAGCCAAAACTGTAGCGGTGTTTATTTCCTTGTGGTTCTTGCACATGCAAGCAGACTGACTTCAACAAAGGCATATTTCCACACTTGTTATGACTACATTACTGTGATTCTACGCCTGGGTGCGATGCTTTAAGGCCAATATGCCTTTGTTTGACTCATTGGGAATTTTTTTTACTATTAGTTTCGCCATTCTAATTTTTCCTCCCCGAGTTTTCCCAAATAAAAAAGAATGATAGGGTGATGGGTCTCACTCCTCCGTAACTCCTTTGCCCACTGCAGACCAAAGCCAACGTTTTCTTTCCCGTCTCTCTTTTTTTTTTACCCGAAACTAAAACAAACTTGGTGACGGTGCTTTTTCACTCTCCTGGATAGACATGAGCTGGTCTTTTTTTTTGCGTCGTAGAAATGGCTTGCCTTTAATTTTTTTTTTTACTCCACCTGGTAATATTATTTTAATATAACGTTCTTATGCTTGAAACAACTGTTAATTTGTCTCACCCATGTAACAAAGATTCTGTTACTGAATAAAGGATATGGAATAATACTGAATCTGTTTCATTTTAACTTTTATTTTCATTTTATGTATGTATGTATCTATGTATATGTACACTTGGCGAAACGTGTGTACTGTATGTCTGTGTGTATATCTGTCTGCATGTTTTTATGTATGTACTCATGTTTGCTGCGTGTCTGTAAGTCTGTATGTCTACATAGTCGATATTTATGTATGTTTCTCTTGAAAAAGGATTCTTCGTGTGTTTGGTTTGCCTTTCATGGGGCAGGAAATCTTACATGAAATACTGAATATACAGATTCTATTACAGTCAAAGAGTGTATTACAATTCATTTAATAGTAATATATTTGCTTATTTATTTTGATTTGTCATTTCTCTTCATTACTTACTCATCTTCCGCTCCTTTGTGTGATAATATTGCCGATTTTTTCTCATTATTATTTTATTACAGTCTAAATGTTCATTTTTCGCAACGATTCATACAAAGGCAGGTTTTTATTATACACAATATCATAAATTTCATTTTCATTATTTGCTTTGTAAAGATTAAATTTCTTTTTCTTAAAAATTGCATCAAATGAAGTTTAGAATAGTATGCAATGATTTAATGATAAAGAGACGCACACTAGAATGGAAAAGGATAAAAAATTACACATGATGATACAACAATTTCCATTTATTTTTTTTTTTTACATAATTGTATTAACCTTATTCATTCACTCATTCTGACTACGTGATAATCTCACTCACACAGATCAGATCACCTTAAAATTAGTTTTTTTTAAAGGTTAGTAGAGGCATTATAAAATCTACTTCCCTATTCACTGCACGTTGTTATAATGAAATTCTTTAGACACCAAAATAGGGGATTATGAAAAATAAATATGAAACAATGTCGGATTAGGAAAAAAATGAAAAGACATGATTAAGAAGAGATAAAAATTGGGGAGATATGTGTGTGGTGTTTTTTATATTGTGGTGGTTTGTTTATCTTTATATTTTTGGTAATTATTGAGGTCGTATTGTTGTCTCTCACCAGCGATATGTATCGTGTGCCGACCCTTCCTTGGATCGGCGTGGAAAAGTGTAAACAAATCTATTAAGTCAGAATTTCCGAGGACTTTGTGGGCCATAGAAAAGAATTTGATATCCAATCCCCCACGAACGTTTCACTAGATGATATCGTGAAAGCGTACTTTTCTTCTAAACAGTTTTGTAAGTTTTTTTTTCACTCTACGGACTTTCCCTCCACATTTCACTGAGTCCTTTATCTTACCGGAGC